CCACGTCTCGATGCACAGGCTCGTAAAGGTCAGGCGAGCATGAGAAGCTCGCATTTTGAGCTTGCGGCAATTAGACTGGGCTGAGGTTGTCTCGAGGGGGGCGTGGAACGCCCACTCCCAGAAAGCACGCCTGTGGGTCATCCAGAACCGCCAGGGAGCGCGATGAATGTCTTGATTCTCCGCTGGGTCATACCACAGGGGTCGACCCGACCAGGGGTACGCCAGACGCCAAGGGACTTTGCCGGCTTCTTCAGCCTTGTGGAGAACAATAGCAATCGCGGTTCGCACGACCCGAGGAGCGTTGGGATTCACGTCGATCAGCTTGGCGTAGTCGTATGAAGGAAGCGTCAACTTCTGGGAAGAGCGCAGCTTCTTGGCGGACGACTTGGAGACGGTGTCGCCGGCGCCGGCCTTCCGTTTGGAGGACTTCTTAGACGGCGTAGCTGGTCTCTTGCCTGAAGACTTGGTGGATGGCCTAGACGGGGTTGCTGCTCTGGGAACGCCGGACGCGGCTGGCTGGGTCACAACCGGGGGTGCGGCACTTGGAACACCAGGCGCAGCTGGCAAGATCACGACCGGACCTTGGAGGCTGACATTCGACTTGCCTTGGAAGATGTCTTCGACGAGTTGGTCAAGATCTGGAAGGCCCGTAGACATGCCGTTAACCCCGAGATGTACACGTATCTCGTCCCAGAGTTGCCGCCTAATAGCGTCCGCGTCGTCGGAGGAGGGACCGTGTTCTTCGCGGTCGATGGCTGCGTCAAGGAAGGCGCGGAACCGCTTCAGCTCGGCGGCGGTGAACTTGGACGTCATGGCAGTTGCGTAGGTCGAAGGAAATTCGAGGACTGAAGGGTCCCATGTTGAGGGAGGTTGATGGCTGCCGGTGGGTACGCCAGGGGTACGCAACCTGCGAAGGGACGTTGAAGTGGAACGCGATGACGGGAACTGACCCCGAGCGAGGGGGCGCCGGGTGGGACACCTGCACTGGCTGTGGACGGCAGTTGGAGGTCCACTAAGGGAACTGACAAGCGATGGAGAAGTGGCGAGCATGGGCCGAAGCAGCCGAACTGAGGGAGGTGGCTGGAGCGACTAACTACTGGGTGTTCGTTATTAGCGCTATCGCTGGCATCGTGGCGTGGGTGGTAACCACTCCTTTGAGGAACGTCTCGTGGGCGTTCCTAGACAGCGTCGTTGACAACGGAAGAGCAGTCTACTTCTTCGCGTACACCTGTGGTGATAGGTATCTTGAAGCTGCGCGGAACGCGAACGCCTTGGCACTACCTCCGTTGGAGTATGCGTGTGCTCTGATCTCGTTGGCGTTCCTGATTCCTATCGCGGTGCTGCAAGATTACGAGGTACGACTTGGGATAACGGGAAGGCTGTGCTTGAGTTGGTGTGAGGCGTTCCACCACTCCTGCTGTTTGTTCGTGACAGACGCAGTACAACTACTCTGGGTGTCTACTTGCAAGTACGTGTGGCGTCCCAGAAGTGGTTGCTGGTGAGACCGTGCGACCGGCAGTGGAGGGAACGACTCGGCGAGGGCGCCGAGAATCGGTCGGGGAAAATTGTCACGGTCTACAGCTAGAAGGAGGTCTCGCCATTCT